AGCTTCTATTTGGAGGTAAAAGAAACATATTGAGGGAATTGTGACATCATCGGGAGGCTGGACGGAGGACGAAGAGGAAGTTGGTAAATCGTTTATTTCCTATTTTAAATCTATATTCAAGTTTGCTAACCCGAATCCTGCTAATATTGACAAGGTTCTAAGGGTAATCTCTCCAAGAGTGACTTCAGAGATGAATGCCATGCTGAATGCACCTTTTACTGTGGAGGCGGTGGAGCAGGCTGTAAGAGAGATGTTTTCCACGAAGGCTCCGAGATCGGATGGTTTTCCAGCGTTGTTCTATAAGAAATATTGGAAAACTGTGGGGCCAAAGACAATTGAAAGTTGTTTGGACGTTTTAAATAACAAAGGTAGTGCTAAGGAAGGGAATGTCACGAATATTGTCCTGATCCCGAAATGTAGTAATCTCATATGGGTCACTGATTTCTATCCCATAAGTTTGTGCAATGTATTATATAAAATAGTTATGAAGGTCTTGGCCAATATATTGAAAAGAGTATTGGATGAGGTTATTTCAGAGTCACAATCTGCATTTATTCCAGGAAGATCTATATCAGACAATATTATCATTGATCATGAATGTCTGAATGTACTAAAGAGGACAAAAAGTGGTAAGGATGACTTTGCTGCTTTAAATTCTATATGAGTAAAGCCTATGATCGTGTGGAGTGAGTATTTGTGAAAAGAGTGATGCTTAAATTGAGCTTCAATGTTGATTGGATGCACTGATTGTATATCTTTAGTAATGAAAACGAAACGCTCCCACAAGCGTGTTCTCTAAACCCAAGAGGATAGCAAGGAAGACTCGGTGGTACTGTTTGGGTAGAAACCATTGAAGAAAAGTTCTTCAAAGGTAATGATTTTCCTCTGTATTTTATTCTTGCACTTTGTGATTTTGTTTCCCAAATTTCACGAACAACGGTCTGCTTCCACTCCGGGATTCACATCCCTTCACTAAAGAGGACAAAAAGTGGTAAGGATGACTTTGCTGCTTTAAAATTCGATATGAGTAAAGCCTATGATCGTGTGGAGTGAGTATTTGTGAAAAGAGTAATGCTTAAATTGGGCTCCAATGCTGATTGGATGCACTCTGTTATGCATTGTATATCTTTAGTCTCCTTTGCGGTCAATATTAATGGGGCCTCGGTAGGTCAGATAATCCCATCTAAGGGTCTTAGGCAGAGGGACCCTATATCCCCTTACCTTTTTCTCTTTTACGTGGAAGGATTATCTGTATTGATTCGAGATGCATCACTTAAATCACATATTTAGGGGCTGCCTATGGCTAATCAAGGGTTGGTTGTTTCTCATATTTTCTTTGCATATGATATCTTGATTATTTTACGAGTAGACTCAATAGAATGTTATGTTTTTAAGAGAATTCTCGAGCTCTATGAATGTACTTCAAGACAGGTTGTAAATTTTGATAAATCAGTAGTGTGTTTCTCCCCCAATATTGTGATTGACAGGAGGCTATACCTTCGATCTTTACTGGGGGTATGTATAGTGGATAATCTGGGGCAATATCTCGGGCTTCCTTCGGCCTTTTCAAGGAGGCGCACGGAAGACTGGAAATTCCTGAAGGACAAGGTTTGGAATGAAATGTAGGGATGGAAGAAGTAGTTTTTCTTGTTCGCGGGCAAGGAAGTGTTGGTCAAGAGTGTAGATCAAGCAATCCCAATGTATGCTATAAGTGTGTTTTGAATCCCTAATAGATGTTGTGAAGACTTTTCGAAGATGTTTGCTAGATTCTAGTGGGGTTGGTCAGTGGAAAAAGGAAGATACATTGGAAGAGTTGTGAGTTGACGTGTCTCTCAAAAGAACTAGGTGGTTTAAATTTCAGAGATTTGGAAATATTTAATCAGGCTCCTCTAGTCAAACAAGTTTGGGGCATGATTTCCTGTCGTGATCTCCTAGTTACAAAGGTAACCAAAGCTAGATATTTTGCCGACGCTTCAATCCTCGAAGCATAAGTGGGGAAGAAGCCATCATATTTTTGGAAAAGCTATATTTGGGGACTGGAACTACAGTTAAAGATTTGAGAAAGAGAGTATGTAATGGTGTTTCTATATGAGTGTTCAAAGATAAGTGGTCATCGAGAGAATCTACTTTCAGACTTTAACCCTACCAAGAGTAATGCTAAGGTGGCTTATTTTTATTAGCCCCAATAGTGAGTGGGAAGTTGATAAACTAAGTCAGGTCTTCTGGCATGAGGATGTCCAATGCATGCTAAAAATCTCTCTCAGTGCTGCAATAACTCAGGATGGATGGGTATGGGATTATGATAAAAAAAGATCGTACACGGTGAAATGTTGGGATGTAGATTCTAAAAGTAAGTGGATCCTTAATTTTATTGAATCTTACCAAAGAGCATTGTCGATTTGAGGAGGAGGGGGGAAGCTTCACGAACAAGGAGAGAGTTTGTAACCCATCTATTATTACCCATAGTGGTGTTTTTACTTAATAAAATAGTATTCCCTTTTGGTTAAAAAAAAAACGAATAAAATAATTTTAAAAATTCAAAATTATGTTTGAAATATATGTATATATATATGTATAATGGGACCGACTTGTCTCATGAGATGAAAATGGTGTAGAACCTCAAAGTCGGCACCACTATCCAAAATTCCCGTTCCCAACGCCGTGACAGTTGAAATTTCTTTTGTCTTATAATTAACAATTTGACCAAAAAGACCTTTTACTTCTACCTAATAAATTCCATTTATTTATTAATTATTTACCGGATAAATAG